TGTTTGTGTGTGTTGAATATATAAAAAACACGCACACTATATCAAAAGAACGTTATTCAGGTTGCAAAGTCAAGCACTCAAAATCGCCAGTCTTTCAATTTCCCTCCTTTGCCCCCAATCCCAATGTTCTTTTCCAGCCTGTTTCAGTCCACTACGCTTCCAATCCCAGTTTCCCTCTCCCTCTGTGAGTTTCCAGGCCCAGTCACTTCTGCCCAGGCTCCTTGTTGCAATTTCCTTCTTCATAGCTATAGCTCTTGTCCCCTCTCCATTCATGCAGGCTCCTTGCTCTCCAGGCAGGTACCATGACCTGGCATAGTCTGAAGGAGCCCAAAGGCTACAATGGCAGGGAAAGTCCTGCTCAGCATTTTCAGTGTTGATTCTGGTGATTTAAGCTGCTAAAATATAAATAAATTAATTAAATAAAAATCTCTGCTCAACATGTGTGAACTGTGATTCCCACGTTCAGGGTTTATAACTTGGCCAAATTTGGTCATGTTTTCACAGAGACAACCAATGGCACCTCCTGCCCAATGTAAAGTCCTTGCTACGTAGCATGAGGGTACTAGGGCTTTTCAAAAAAAAGGTTGACAAAAAATTTTAACTGAGGCAGAACAACCTGCTTTTCACTAGACTCATTCTTGGAAACTGTAAAACCATTGTGGCTGAAACTTTTCAGAAACACTGAGCTTGAGGCTGGGGTGACCAGACAGCAAATGTGAAAAATCAGGACAGAGGGTGGGGGGTAATAGGAGCCTATTTAAGAAAAAGACTCAAAAATCGGGACTGTTCCTATAAAATCGGGACATCTGGTCACTCTACTTGAGGCAGACAGGAGGCATGAAAAATGTCAACCCAGTTAAAGCCTGGCAAAGTTATAAGCCACTGAAAATAGGGTTTTATACTGGAAAGAGTAAGGCAACTTTAATAATATGCCATGCTACCTCCTAGTTTGAGTGTAGGTGTATATATGTCTGTTTGTATAATGTGTATGTTCATGTTTAATCCTGCAAAGGGATTTGAACAAGCTGACCCTTATGATTTCAGTGTCACAGTGGTTTCAATGGGAGTCTTTCCAACCTGTAGATTCCTTTCTTTGGAATTTGGGCCCATGCATTAAAATGCATTAAAATATTTCATTCTGACATTGTAGAGTAGGACTTTTATATAGTGAAGTCCATTTTCTTTTTTTGTTCTACATCTAACTTTATTGGATGGAATTGCAAATTTTCATTGCAATGTATTTGGGCTAAAAATAAGGAGACTTCTATTTTATTCCATTATAAAGATAAGTTCACTACAAGTAGATTTCTCTGAATTTAAGCGGAGTCCAGATCTGCCACCCTTATGATGAGTAGCACAATCTTCCCAAAGAGACTGCTTATAGAGGAAGAAACTATGCAATGTGAGTGAGGGTGGTGAATTGGACCCTAAGTGTTTAGGGATAAAATTATTTTTGAAAGTAAGAAATTCTGCTTATGAACTCTGTGAAATACTCTGGAGTGCTTACTGACACGAGTCTGTTCTTTTTTTACTTTGGGATCATGTATCATACAATAGTCGGAGAGACGTTCAAAATATTTCAAGCAGAAGCTCAAAGCAGGTGGGACTATCCTTTCCATCTTTAAACTCTGTGAATCAATTGAAACAGCTACCAAGCCTGCCTGATTTTCAAAGTGTCTGAAGGTCATAGGTCTTACATTCTTTCTCCTAAAACTTTAATTTAAACATTAATAGTCCTTGGGGTCTTCTAATCTTCCTCTCTTCATATTCCAAGTCCTTAAATGTGAGTCCTTTTTACAGTACTTTTGCGGATTTTTTTTTTAACATATCTAGTAGGGATGAGTGAAACTCAAAGGGTTTATAGTCTGGGTTCCCTTTGGAGAAAAACTGAAAAATTGGGATGCTTTTCAAACTGTCAAAAAACTCTTCCTGAGTCTGGAAAAAAAATGGGTTGGAAGTCTCATGAAAGCAGATTTTTCTATGAGATCTTTAGAACTTCCTGCTACTATTGGCGCCAGCTAGTCAGGGAAAAAATAGACATATATGCAGCATTTCAGTCCTTCCCAATCTGTTTCTGGCTAAGCTCTGAAGGAAAATTATGAGCACAAAAATGACACATGTCCACCTTACTTGCTAGGGTGGGACATCTGCTTGGGCCAGCAAGGAAGAGGACATCGAGGCTCTTTCCACCGTGCATGAGAAATCCTCCTTCTTTTGAGGTCAGCCAGTGCAGGAAGTGAGACTGTCTTGTCCCCTGTGTGGCCCTGATTGTAGCTGGTTTGTGTTATGTTACACAGCATACACACAGAAGTTAAATAAAAATATTGAATGCTCTTGCTGGAAGTTTGCAATGTAACACTACTTTCTTTCTAAGAATTCAGAAAGATCATGTGCAAGAACCCCAAAACAGAGACAAAAAGCAGGCTGCTCCCTAAAAGAGGCACAACTTGCCTTACCTTATTGTAGGCTGTCTCCATGTTAAATGACTGATGCTTGCATAGTTCTCTGCAAAGCTTCCCCTAGCCTGCAAGCAGGACCAGAACTGTTCCCCCCCCCCTCTCTCTCTCTCACACACACACACACACACAAGTGTGAAAAATCGGGATAGTAGGATCCTATATAAGAAAAAGACCCCAAAATCAGGACTGTCCCCATAAAATCGGGACATCTGGTCACCCTAACACACACACACACACACACACACACACACACACACACACCGATTCTTACAGTGATAGCTCACAATTCCAATACAGTCTGCCCTAAACCACACTTTCCAGTTCCCTGGGGTCCGGGTGACCTCTGTGGTCCACCACATGCCAATTACCTGCTCAACTTCTTCCTCCTCTTTATGTTGAGGTTTGAATGTGGTTCAAGTGTGACCAGTTATCTTTTGGGTTGTGTGTGGCTGGAGCTGTCATTTTGTTTTGACTCTACTATATGCAGATCACCTATTGACCCTGAAATCAAAGTCAATATTTTCTGTTTCATGAAATATTTATGGGAAACTGAGAGAATGAGGAAGAAGTTTGATCAAAATGACTAGGAGCACTTTGCTTTCAAAAATATCCTTTCAGTGGAGTAGGAGTTGACAGTGCATTTTTAAATTCTGCCCTTTTAACACAGATCAGAAAATAATTCATTTTGGATCTATGGAGGGAAGAGTTGTCAGGTGGGAAACTTGTCCAGTATGTTGTAACTAACCCTTTGACCGCAGATCTCTGATGGTACAAATATGATAACCTTAGTGTCTCTCCTCCATTTCACTAGAATTTGATATATTTCTCTAATGCTTCACAGGTGAGATGGGAATATTCCACATTTTCACAGAAAGAGGAGAGTAACTGCTGATATAATAATGATGATAAATTATCTCTTTTCATAGAGACTCATTACTGCAAACAAAGATTACCTTCCTGCATCATTTCAACTTGGGATGTGATATCTTGATATGTATAAGATAAGCACTATCAGGGCTAGTTGGTAGCTTGAATTGTTTGGATACTTACTTATTACCTCTTTCCTTTGTTATGAGATAGTATTTTGTTGAAGCTGGAAAACAAACTAATCAGTTGTTTGCCTCTGCTTTCTTGCTGGGCATATGCCTCTGAAACATAGGGTTTTCACACATTACTGAGGGAAATGTCTGTGGGATCCTCTTCATAAAATATTGACAGCTTATTACTGGTGCTGTCTTTTTTTGCTAGGGTGCAATGCCAAAGTTACATTAACCATTTGTTTTCTGTGAAGATCCTTTGGCACTTTTTATGAGGGTGGATCTGCCAAATTTCAATCTGAATAATTGCATTCTGCCTACTTTAAATTCCCCCCTTAATTTCAGTTGGATAAGGAAGCCTTCACTTTCAATCCTAAACCACTGTGCATAGTTTAAGCAGTTCGTATCTCTTAATGCTGCCAGAGATGTCTGCATGTCAGTAGAAGTGATTACTATATAGTACTCTATCAAAAGTGATTACTATATAGTACTCTATTAAAAGACCTTTGGAATCCATCATGATAAAAGCAAGATGAAAACAAATCATTATTGTCCTAACTTGCTAGCAGATTTATTTTTTCCTTCTCTACAGCTTGTTCACTAATTAGGTGAAACCATCTTCAGCAAGGCCCTTATTTCTTACCTTGGTCTCATAACGGTTTCTCCAGTGGAGTGGGTGAAAGGGACAATGACTACTTAATGTTGCTTGTTACTGTTCGCTCTCTCTGTAACCTGCAGCATGGTGGCATGAAGTATTTGCTTGTAAATGGCACTTGACTCAGAGCAGATGTGTGGGTGGCCCTAGGGGGGAAAGTGAATAATAATAGTCCCAGATTATTATTTTTTGGTCTGGTGACTTGTGTGAACTTTATAACGTGGTCTTGGATAAATGATACTCTGCAGATTAGTCTAACCCACCATTACATATATTTTAAAAAATATTTAAAAGTGTTTAACATTGCATTTGCATCAGTTTGTCTGCATGCTGGTGATACAGTACCAACATGCAGTTCACTGCTGTGCAAAGCATTTAGGATGGTGTAGTTATGCAAGATGCTATAGAAATTAAATATTTCTGTCATTCTAAAGAGAAAAGTGCTGTCTCCATGTTAAATGACTGATGCTAGACAGGTGATAGAAGTAGACATGAGGGAAAAAAAACCTATTTAAAATACTGACTGAAGAATACACCATACGTGTAACTTTAGCTGTTGATGTCATGTGTAATAACTATTCTAAATGTAGAAAAACATGAGCTCTAGGACAAAACATTCATTTAGTCTGTTTCTGAATTTAGCTGATTTTTTTCATAGTCCTTACTTTACTGACTTCAAATAGTCACCTTTACATTGCACCAGATCCTCCATTTATCAAAGTTCTTATGTAAAAAAGAGGATTGTTCTATAGAATTAAGAGGATAGCATTCTATTTAGTCATCTAATGTAGCTGTTTATGCAATTAGCCTCTGCTTAATGCCAAAATTCTTATTTTTATTTTTGATCAGTATTTGGACACTCCTGAAGACAGGTCATTTGGCAGTTCACTGATGGAGGTAGAAGTGGACCTGGACAGCTACCAAACAGCTTTAGAAGAAGTACTCACATGGCTTCTCTCTACTGAAGATGCATTACAAGCACAAGGAGATATATCCAGTGATGTAGAAGAAGTCAAAGAGCAGTTTCACACCCACTGAGGTATATGTGAACCACAGAGACTGAGAAACCAGTGCAAACACTTCATCATCTATTAATTGGTGTTCATCTATTTGTATGGTACATTAAGATCAAAATCATAAAATTTTCACCGGTGCTATTGTCAGTCCCTGTTCTTTCCTTTTCCATTTGGTTTTGGAGACTTTAAATTTAGCACTGGAGACTTTGCCTCTTACACAAGGAGAAGGTGTTTATTTTTACATTGGGTTACAAAGTTAAAATGAATTTTTAAACCAACTTAATTTGTTTTTGAAAATATGTGCAATTGAAGATATTTCTACAAAGTATCCCTCTTCCTTGTAATCTTAGTTAAGATTTACTTTTCTTTTATTTTCAGGGCTTTATGATGGAATTAACAGCTCACCAGGGACGTGTTGGTAATGTTTTGCAAGTGGGGAGTCAACTTATAACAGTTGGGAAGCTTTCAGATGATGAAGAAAATGAAATCCAAGAACAAATGAATCTGCTTAATTCTCGTTGGGAAAGTCTCAGGGTAGCCAGCATGGAAAAACAAAGCAAGTAAGTAATGTGTGTGTGTGTGTGGGGGGGAGTTAAAATTTTTATATTGCAATAATACAGGGGTGAGAGGGTGATACTTCGTTGCAAATGTATACTTGATCCTAAATTTTAGTTTATCTGCAATTTCAAGTGCATCAAACTCTAAACTTTCGTGTTCATTTGAAAATGGAAGTTGAACAGATGGAAAGCTGTCAACAGTTTAGATTTTAGCAGCATTTTAAATACTCTTTATTCAACCTATCCTGGATTTTTTTCCAGAACATTTCCTCAAACAGCACACAACATTTAGTCAATAGAATAGAAATTATTCTATCAGAAAAACTGGTTTCCAGTTTTGGACAGGGGGTGTGAACTTTTCAAGTCTATATTAATCCATTTTTAATCTAATAAATGGAGATTGTCAACAAAAAGTTGCTGAGATTTGTTGTCAGAGGAATTGCTCTGAGAACACATTATACTAGTCAAGTAGTTTGAGCTTGGTTCCTATGGCAATTCTGATTTCTTATTGGACATGTGAAATCATGGTAGGTTAAAGCATTTCATGTTTATGTTGTATACTTTTAATACTTAAATATAGGTTAAATATAAAGGAAAGAAAGGGATTTGAGTTAAAATGAGAGGTGAAATGCCAATAATAAAAGAATATGATAACTATTATTTGTTCACATGTAGTACTTAATATAAGAATGGATATGTTATTTAAAAATGGGATCCTTTATTCTTCTATCTATTAACACACATAAGGACAAAGTTCTGATATGATATTGGTAACTTAATTCTTATTCATAGTAAAGAAAATTAACTACTACATATTCATATTAAAGTTAAATTAACTATTAGACTTGCTAGCTTGGTAGAAATGTACACCTTTGCACTATATGAAGCCAGGATGTAAACCTTGAAATCAAAAGGATGATGATAATTTTCTTAAAAGCAGAAAAGCTACGGACCATTTCACTCACAAGAAAATTGAAGGGTTGGTGAAGTAAGGTGATGAGATGTTAAGTGGGAGGTGAAGGAAAAAGATGAAGGGTTTGAGGTAGAAAATGAGTGAGAGGGCAGGGAATTGAAGCCTTTAGAAAGGAAGAATGTATTAAGAGTAGAAAAATGAGTTATAGGTTAGCTGCAGGACTCTGACTCTCTGTATTTCGATTTCCATACACAATACAGTACAAGAACATTTACATTAGGTAGGGCATGATATAGCAGAGAAGGCTGATGTTGTGGGATATAGAGGGGATTGGAGCAGAAATATGATTGCAAAAATGGGAGGAGGAAATATCCCTGCAAGTTTCCTTCCCTCAACCTTTAAAAAAGAATACAGTTGCCTTTCAGATTGTTCAGAGGGATTGGATATTGTCCAGGTTCTCATCTTTTCTCCCTCCCCCCCCATCTGTTGATTTCCTGAGACGCTCTTGAATCTCTTCTGCATAAAATAACTCTACTTCAGAACAGTTTACTTTGGTCATATTGTGTCTTATGGAGCTCTGTTTACTTAACTTATCTGTTTTCATATTGATTCTATACAAAACAGGAACTGAAGTGTAAGATATTTTACTGTTATAATGTATTTATTATTCTACCAAAATGAATCAAGGGGAGAATAAAAAACAACTACTAACCATTACCAGTGTGTTTATAGAAATACAGTAGTAATTACTGTAGATTATAGCTGCTCTCATCAGTAAAATCAACTGGATGTAAGTACATAAGACCTGGGATTGGAGGTCTATATTTGCTTCTTTATTGCTCAATGTGTTGGTGATTATATATGAAGTCCTAGAAGGACCCTACATTGGTATCTAGAGGTGTCTGAGACAGTCACAGCAGTTGTGCTTTAAGTGGCAAACTGCTTCTGTCTGTGCCAAGAGAAGAGCTAGCTGGAAAATGTTGGTTCAAGTGAAATTTTGACAAAAAACTGAAACCAACTTCTATCCAAAAGTTAAACTCCAGTTATGGGGACATAGTATTATTAGCTGATGGTCCTTGATTCATGACTCATGGCAATCTGTCAAAGGCTGGCTTTTGTGACATTTGATATGCAGTGCAAAATATATCAGTTTACTCAGATCTTTTATTGTACCAGGGATTTAATGCTAAAATGAAGAACTTTGTTTTCTGTTACTAGTATGGAAGCAGGAAGTCACAGGTTTCAGTTAAATACTTTTATTTAACTGTAGCAACAACACAACAGATGGGATCCCATTCTGTATCTTACTCAGAGAATCTCTAAACTATGTATGGTCTTCATGTTTCTCTTGTCCACATCCTTATACACTGCACTTCTTCAAAGAGAGATACAAGATGAGACCACTATGTGCCATTGCAATGATTTACAGGCAAGTTGCAAAAATTAAAAATAAATTAAAATCCCACAGCAATACATACAACTACCAGGTAGCAAAAATGTTATTAACTGAATCAAATTGCCAAAAAATATCCAGCTTACAACCATATCTGCAGTTGCCTGATCAAAAGGTTGGATGTAGCAGCATGTCCTGACAGGATGATACATTTGTTTTATTTCAGCCCAATGGGATGGTGGGACTTACAAAGTCAAGGGGCCTTTGGAGAGAATGCTCTGCCACCAGCTCCTTCACCAAAGAGTCTCCAACTTTAGTGTTTCTGCTAATACCAACTCAGAGAGGGGAGGCAAGCCCGCAGGATGGATGGTCACTAAGGATGTTCAAGATGGTATAGGTCAAAACCAATAGTTTAAGCTCCACCTGGAAGGCTGTTTGCAGCCAGTGTAGATCCCAAAGCACTAGTACCATGTGTTCATGCTATGATACTGCAGTTAAAAATCTTCATAGTTGTATTCTGCACCACCTCTGTTTTCAAGTATAGGCCTCTGCAGAGCACGTTGCTGTAATCCAATTGGAAGGTAACAAAGATGTGGATCACAAAGAGAGATTCATATCCAAGGACCAGGCGCAGATGAAAATAAAGATATCTTGGTAGTTGTTACTATTTGATCAGCATCTCTAACTGACATATCCAGGGTAAAATCCAGACTCTTGAGTAGCTGTGTCACCCCAGCCCTCTAACCTGGGGTTCGAGTTACTTCTATAGTCTCCAGCCTGGACTGCTCACAAACAGCCTCCAGTATGCAAATCACTCCCAGCTGTGTCTGTGTGTGTGCTGCAGCCAACCAGCCACACCTTGGCTCTTAAATCAAGGTTATACAGCAGGGTGACACCAACATACTGCTAGTCTTAGATTTCCCCCCAGAAACGTATGTCTTGTATTGCCCAGCCCTCTCCCGGATAATACAAATTCATATAAAGTCCATATTTCATTCATAGAAATATGCACATACCTTGTTACCCCCAAATGGAGTTTCGTAGACAGTTCAGTTTAAACACACTGGATTATAAAACAAGTTTATTTAACCACAAAGAGCAAGATTTTAGGTGAGTACTTTTAAGTAGATATGATTATAAGAAAAATAAAGATAAAACACAACTGGTGCCTTAACAATCTATGTTAAATTCAAAGCAAAGTTTTTCAAACCATATGCTCTCAGTAGTCTTACTGATCGAACTCGTTAGGTCAGAATCCCTTCTCCAGTTCAGTGGCTGCTTCCTTTGTTCCTTCTGGTGCATGAATCGAAGGACAGCAAGAGAAAGAGGGAGGGGTCGTTGGAGTTTTTATGCCTCCTTTTGATACTGTCAGTTAGCCACTTGGGAAACATTTCCAGCTGAGATTCAGGAGTCAGAATGTCTATAGGAAAGGATGTTCCCTGCTGCTTTTTCCTCACCTATTGGAGCTTCTTTTGTTTCCCTTCCTGCTTGATGACTCTGTTTACTGCTTAAATGCAAATTAAGCAGAACACACATTCCTTTGTTTGAGACAGATCTAGTCACCAACCTGAGTTTGGAACATGTGTTAAGAAGACCAAGCAGTGGTCTCTTATAACTTCAAATGCGATGTTGCCACATGCGTTTTATCAGGACAATATTGACCAATGAATTATGAGGTTTTCAAATGATACTTCGAAAGCATACTTTGTACAAAGATGATTACAATAGTATTCAGGGTGTGAACACAGGTACATTCTGTCACACTAACGAAACCCTCAAGCTGCAAATGTTACAAAGATGCACAAATCTCAGATAAATAATCTGGTTGCTCCCGACAATCACCACCACCTCAGTCTTGTCCAGATTAAGTCACGATTACGTTCAAATATTGTGTTTGTGTATAAATTATTGTTTAAAACATATATGCTATACTGCAGCATACCAGAATTCACTCACTCAGCACTTTGAACAAGTGGAGCAGTGGCTACACATCTTCAGATTTTTTTGTCTAGGACTCGCTTAGCCCCAATTCTGCTAATTGCAGGAGCAGCAAAAGGCAGAATGTTATGGTGAAGACAAGAGTGAGTAGGTTAATATATAGGTATATTAGGGTATATATTCCTGCTTACATAATTGACTATTACACTTTTAGTTACTAAATAACAAGAAGAAAATATCCTAAAGTTAACACTTATACTAAAACACCTGACAAATGATCTTGATTTTACTAAAAATATATTAGGAAATCCTAAGTGTTTGAATGAAATGTGGCTTTTAATCCACATTCTCTGTATGAGCATGGATCAAAGTAAAGCCCCTTCCAGGAGCTTGACTTTATTTACAAAGGAACATGAAGATGATAAAAAGTTTGGTCCATGCCATCTATTAAGGTTTGGATGCTCAGCTGAGCCCCCAGGTTTTCTTTGCTTCAGGCCAAAGATCATCACTGTAGCTGAGTTTAGAAGCATTATCCTTCATTTTTCCACCCCCTCCGGCCAGAAGGCACTTCCTCCAGGTTTGATACTGCTAACTAGGCAGTAGATCAGGACTGGCTTCAACCTCTGTCTCCAGGGAAAATTGTTTTTACTTTCCTCCCCTAGTCTTGTGTGGGGCTTGTCCACCTCATCACAATATGTAGTAAGCAAATCAGACTGCCACTGATCTAGAATGAACAACTGTCACTCTACTTTACAAGTC